TTCAACTCAGGATGTAACATAGCTCAAATAATTACCACATCTCCTCTCTCCATTTTTTCTCCTTCAGCCAATTCACTTGAGAAATGATTCTTGGAAACTCAAAATCTTGCAACTATTTTGAAAAGAATCACTGGGCTTGCTAAACCTATATATCCTCAATGGTGATTTTGAATTTTATTTCCCCGCATATACATTTTTCCCCAAGATCCATGAATAATTAAACAAAGAAATCCATACACTGAATTATCAGTAAGATTTAGTAACTTATAATTCTTTATAATGATATTTTTAAAATGTTGTTGGCATCTTAACAAAATCAGCTCGCAATTGCTATGTACATTTTTCTTAAAGGCCAAGTAAAGGTCAGAACTAGATTCTTTACAGAAAAGTAAACTTTCTTTAAATGAAAATGCTTGACAGTTAAATATACCGATTTAAGTGTATTTATTATTTAAAATGTATGTAAATTGTTTTTACCACTGACAGGAAGCAAAGCATTATTTTTTTAAAAAATCTGTCCGGAGTAAAAAAAAATTCTGAACAGTTCTGGAGGCCTGAGCCAAACTAACTGCAATGCTTAAAGGAAATAAAAGTCATGAAAATCGAGATATAAACTGAAATGCCAATGTTCAAAATTATTCATTTTAATTCAAGTCACTCACTGACATTATGAAAGAACTAAACGCTTGCTTCTGTGGCTTCTGCACCAACGAGTATATAAATTAGCTCACACTTTGTCTTAAAAATGCTGGGTGAAGTATATATATACATTCTATATAGGGAATATCCTGTTAGGAAGCTTCAGAATAAATCTCAGTGAAGCTCCACAAGGAATTAATGATCACTGAAATTTTTACTGAAAGCCCAAGATGGAAAGTTTTATGGTAACATTGTCTCCCAAATCGTCAATCTTTTATTAATGGAAACTAAGACAGTTACCTGCTTATTCTGAAGATAAGAATGAAGACACAGATTTAATCTTTATCTTTTGCTCTAATGTGATGTCGTTGTGAGAAAAATACATTGGAGGAATGTGGAAATCATAGCATTTCAGACCCTACTCAATAAGCCTTGTCAGTGTATCCTGGATTTTTGATTCAAGGTATACCATTTAAATTATTTGGGTATCAATGTTCCCTTTGAAGAAATGAAGAAATGTAACTAACCGCCAATTGATGTATATTGACACGAAAGCAAGTCCCACTGTAATGGACCTTGCTCACAGAAAATAATGCTTAGGATTGCAGCTATAAATGAAAAAAAAATGCAAAAGAATCAATCATACACTGTCAAATATTAGCTACTGCTGCACATGCAGGGTGGGACAATATACAAAATTCAATTTCACTTAGGGTTCCCCCTCCCTTTTTTTTCCTTGCATTTGTTTCAGTCCATTTGTACCACCAGTTTAAAGGAGGCCAGACATGGTCTCAGATCAGCTCCATGTCCTTTCTCTTCTCATCCCCCTAGTAACCTTCTGCTAATGAACCACAAGCTTCAGTCTGCTGCTTCAATTGTTTTCTATCCTCCAGCACCAACAGCTGTAACGGTGATTTACGGTGATCCTAGCTCTGCTGTAACTATCTGCAAGTACTCTTGGACACAGCAGTTGGAGCCAGCATGATCGGTACTCTGACAGATTGAATCATTCTTTTCTGCTGATAAAATTATTGACTGAATGATGCATCTACGCACACAGCCTTACACACATCCCAATAGAAAAACTGTAGTAATTGTCTTAGCTGCAGATTCTGGATTTAAGAAGTCCCATGTAAGTAATCTAGCTATTGAAAAAATGTCATCCAACTTGACATGAAGAGGGTTTCTAAATACCTCCTCCCTTCTTTTCAATTCTCTACAGAAAGCCCTGTTACCTCAGTCTTTTTTCTTCTAAGTGGCAATATCAGAAAATAATATATTGTATCTAATGTAACACACAAACAGGAGACTTAAAGGAGTCTTTGGAATAAAATGATTAGCAATGTATCCCAACTCTGGGTGGGTTATAGTTTTAAAACCATAGGATAAATGTTGTGGCCCAGCAGGAGCCGTTGGAGCTGCAAACAGACTCCAACAGTGAGGGGCCTTATGAGTCGGCTCTGGAAGATGTGGAGGACCCTGGACAGGGTTCCAACTCTGAGCAGGGATCAAAGAGGCTGGTTGGCCACCAGGAGGCGCCTGAGGCATGGAGCAGCGGTGAAAGCCAAAGGGAGTGTGCTCCTGACGTCAGGCCTTGGAGCAGTGGGGAGGAGACAAGGGAGTTGGTCCTGGACGCCCAGCAACAGCTTGCAGATCAATGTAGAGAACAACTACACAGGTACAGAAGATAATTGGACCCAGGTGGTTGTAATTAGGCTCCTCTCAAGATAGTATTTAAGGAGAGACTCTGGGAGGAGTCTGGTTGCAGGATTCAATTTAATTCTCAATGCTGGAGAAGCTGTTATCTGTATCTGTCGGAGTCTGGGTTTCTTTGTCAAGGGTTCTTTATCTGTTCGTCGTGCTTGGGCTTTCAGCCACCAAGATTTATGTTTGCTGCTAATAAAATGTTGTGGCATTCCAGCTAAGCTTGCCTCGGCATTCATTACTGGACAGAGGAGGGGGGTCAGAACAGATAAATATGTATGTTTGGCTATAATTCCAAGTATTAAAACATGGTTGCTGTTAAGACATTTCTTGATGTCAAGCCACTGCTTCTTACCAAATCTTCTGTGTTCAATTTTTAATGTAATGATTTAGGATTTAAGCATCTAGACCATATAAGCAATTGTATACAAAATTGTGTACAGCAGACAACTAAATTGGTTGCTGTCATTTTTTAATCTCAAGTGAACTGGTAGAGTTTTAATATTTAATATTCCAACCATTGGCAGTCCCATTCTCCATAGTACAGGCAGTAGGGGAAGAAATCAAGAAAAACAATTATTTCAATTTCCATTATGGAGCTTAGTGGCATTGTATCACACTGTTCTTCAATTGCCAGACTCATCCACTTTTTTTTCTTAGACTGTATTATTTTAATATTTCTTTAGAATTTATTGTATTTTTCAGTATATTTTAATCTTTATTTCAGAGTAACACAATGAAATTGAAAATATTTTCTTTTTTAATAAGCTTTGATTTTTACTACATAAATCCTTTTCAGATCTTTATTATATATATGGTTCTGAAATGGCATGAGCTGGTCCTGTTGCACGTCTGTGTGTCTGTGTCTGTGTGTCTGTGTGTGTGTTATAATTTCCATCACAGGATATTTCTGTGTAAGAAGCAGGCAGATTCACCGCCACATAAGCACATATATACATGGCTTTCTGCCCCATTCTTGCGCTTGAGTGAGGCATAAATTCCATTAACCTGAATTGCAGATTTAGCTCACCTTTACAACAGCCAATATCGACAAGACGCTGGTGATCAATATGGGACAGATTGGAAGCTCATTTCAACAAATTGATAAAAGTTCAGAATGAAAAGAGGTGAGGCAGTTTACAGCAAAGGTTAAATCTTTACATTCTGCTTTCTCTAATACCCATTTTTTTTCTCCCTTTACGTGCTCCTAACCTTCAGAATTAACCCCATTTTAAAATACGAGCAGTGTTTTCTAGTCATATTAGTTCTTTCATTCTCAGTTCTCTTCTACAGTGTACTAGGGATACACTGCATCCTATGGATGAAGCAGAATTGCTCTAATATCCATCATCCCACTGACATCATTCAAATGGAGAACAGAAAAAATTCCAATACCACCATCCTTCCTATTCTGTAATAATTACTCTTCGGAGTATTGAGGGAAGGGCAGACACTCTGACATTGGTGCTGGTGGAGTGTTCCTCCCAATTTAGGTTAATTACAATATAGGCAATCCTGTTTATAAAACAAATGCTTAGCTTCCACTCTCTGGATGCTGCAGTTCTGATGCAAACCAGACAGGGTCTGCGCCTAAAATTAAAAATATAATGGTCACATAATCAATGCAGCAATGCCAAGGAAGACATCATTTCTTTACAAAGGGGTTTTAGAGATATAAAAAGATCCTGCTCTTTATATCTCTAAATAGCATTTGAAAAGTAAATGCAATCTCTATCTTCCAGAATTTTTCTAGGGAAGGGTAAATGCTATTAGGATGCCATTTCAAGGTGCATTCATCCCATTGATGCAGATAAATTGGCAGCCATCAGGATACCTATTCATATCTATTTGATTTCCTGCAAGAAATAGCCAACACGCACCCCATGGACTGCAAAACAATTTTATCTGAAAATTTAATATGAAAAAAGATTTTGAATGTAGTTTGGCATATGAAGAAAAGAAATGTAAATGTAAGAAACCTAAAGTGTAGGAAACACTCTTTCAACATTACATCTCTCATTCGGTTTTCTGAATAATTATCCAGACATGTTCACAGACATGCACTCAACTGTTGTGCTACAATTTCTGCTGGCAAGTTCTGGCTTGAATCCCAAGACAGACTTTCCAAATTAGCTGTCTAGGTCATGTTACCTGAGAGAAAATTTCCACTGGAGATTATCATAGTTCTAAGGCCCTGCTTTTTACATCTTTGGCAGTCTCACATGGGCTCTCCCTTAACTTTTTCCTCACTTTTAATTCTGGTGAAAATATGTCCAACCTTTAGAGGGTCAGTGTTAGGTAAGCTCCCCGTTGGGAGAGCGAGTACGTTCAGCAAAGCATTGTTAGAGTTATGTTGGAGAACACACAAACCAGAATACAGAGACATTGCAGTTTAAATAGGCTTTTACTTCCATGGAAATAGAGGTATCAGAGTCCATCAAACNGGGCTTTCAGCCACCAAGATTTATGTTTGCTGCTAATAAAGTGTTGTGGCATTCCAGCTAAGCTTGTCTCGGCATTCGTTACTGGACGGAGGAGGGGGTCAGAACAGATGTGTGTCCTTAAATGTGCAGTAAACAGCACATCATGAAAACTTTAAATACTACTCAGAAAAAAGGAGGAGGTAGCAGTTTTGATTTGAGGGCTTTTTTAATTACCTTGGTTGGAAGAGTGTATTTTCCATCAGGGAGAGGGAAACTCTGAGTATTTCCACAGGTACTGCATATAAAGGCCATCTTGGTGCAGATAGGTTTAATGTTACTAACACGCACAACAGTCCCACGTAAAGCAACATACTTCCCATAGCAATTAGCTCGAATATTCTTAATTTGAGTAATTGGATCATAGTTGTACACTCTAAAAAATTTGAAAACATATTCAAATTAAATAAATATATGGATAATTCAGTGGGAGTTCATCATGTTTAAAATAGTACTATTCATATAATAACAATTGGTGAAAACCACGGTGTGTGCATAGGTAGATTAGAGTGGTAATAAAAAAATTGATTTATCATTACTTACATGTGTCATGGATTTAAATGAAACTGAATTAAATTTTCTCTACATGAAGCCAATGCGTTATTTTTTTCTAGAAAAATATACTACATATGTTAAAATAACATTTTTCTATTATGAATTAGTCTTAACACAAATCGATTATAATTGTAAAAACTTATTTCTATGTATCCACTTTCATTTATACCGAAAATTATTTTAGCAGACCAAAATTCAGAGAAATTCAGAGAAAAGTTGCATATATGTATGCATTTGGATATTAATGCATTTTAATAGTTAATCAGAATATTAAACATAAATCTTCCTGGGAAGGTTTTCCTTTATTAACTTATTCTTACATAATATAATTGTTACATTCAGCTTAGGAACCTTTATAATGTCATAATTGTATGCCTTCCAGAAAATAATAAATCCAATGGTACAAAAAATCAAAACATTCATTAATGTCTTGAAATGTTTAGCCCCGCTACTTCAAATAAAAATAGACTTTTCAAGCTGTAATACATCGTTCCAATTATATAGCAATCTCTGCAAAGACATAATGGTAAAAGTCCTTCCACGGATTGGTACAATGATGAGATCTTTTCAAAGCAATATCCTTCAAGGCAGAAAATAATTACTGCTAGATGGTCTGAATGGAAATTCATACTGCTTGCATTCAGGCAGACTAAAACCCAAGATTGCATTCTGGAGAAGGGCTATTTCAGGCACACTTAAGCCCATTTAATTTTTAGGTCTATTTCTAAGTAACGTACTTCTCTGAAGTATGTTATTTCTGAGTGATTCATGAGTAACCTGGCAGATGTCTATGGTTTCAATAGAATAGCTTCCCAGAGGAGAGAAAATAGAAAATTGCATTTGATATAAAGTAGAAATGAAAAAAATATTTGTCCTCACAAATCAAATAAACAAAAAGATGCAATCCTATCAAGCTATTTCTCTGAACGAAGTGTGCCTTGTTGATAAATATAAATGTGGGCAGAGAAATTATTCCTACATGCAACAATAATATTACTGCTTATGATTTCAATTATGGTAGGTGAGGGAAGGACTGGTATAGTAGGCTTGAGTCAAAGAAACTGCATTTTCATCTGTTTCCCTTTTTAGCAGCTTGCTCTGCCTTGCACAATCCTGGGAAGATCATGTGGTTGCTATTATATAAAAAAATGCCATCCTTTCACTCAGAAGCAGTAGATTTAAAGCCAATTCCCCATTTCTTTTGTAGATAAATTATCTAGAAAAAATTGTATACTCCGCTATCAATTAGAGACAGAAGGACAAGGACAAAGGCTACAATATTTTACCAATGAACCCACCTTCTGAGAAGGCCATCTGCCAGTGGTATGAATAATTTACTAGCTGTTGCCTATTGCTTGCTAGTCATGATGTGATTTCTGTGTGGGTTTTTTTTTTAATGTATAAAAACGATGGTAATTTACTGTATTTTTCCAGAGGTTCTTGATTTGTGATTTGGATCCCAAGAACACCTCTTTGT